CTACATTTATGAGAGGGTCTCACAGGCATTCAGGTTTTGTTACTCTACCATCCCCCAGGGAAGGGCTTCTCAACCTTGTGCTATTGAAATGGGCTGAACAACTTTTTATTGAGGAAAAAGTGAGGAACGACTGTCTGTGAATTGTAAGACCTCTATCATCCCTGACCTCTATCAATGAGATGCCATTTATAACAACCAAAAATATCTGCAGACATTTCCCTTCGGGTAAAATCACCACCAGTTGAGAACCACTGTCTGGATGTTGTAATTGTCTACATGACAGAATCTGAATGACAGGGCTAGTGTTCCAAGTTCAAGATTAAAGAGAAAGTTCAAGGAGGAACAAGTACCCAATGTCTAACACTCAGGCCTAGAAGCAGTATGCAGTCATGTGCTACTTAACATTTCCATAAGTGACAGACCACATAGACAATCACCACTGATATATATGCAATCACTCATGAGATAATAATGAAAATTTTCTATGGCCTAATGACATTGTAGTCATCATAACATCATAGTCTGATGCATTACCTTTCCTATGTAAGGTTTGTTTAGATACACAAATACTTACAATGCACCAAGTGTTCAGTAAAGTAACACACTGCACAGGTTTGTAGCCTAGGAGCACTAGACTACACCATAGAACACAGGTGTGTAGTAGTCTTTACTTTGGTTTGTATAAGTACACTCTCTGGTGTTCACACAACAACAAAATCGCCTAACTATACATTTCTTCAAAATGTATCTTTGTTATTAAGCAACACATGACTGTTTATCACTTTGTCTACATCCATTGGTAGAAACATAATCATATGGCTTCAAATAAGTAGTTCTCTGAAGATAGGAAAGATTTAGTAGAGAGCAGCAGCACTGATGAATGGGGTGCAGAAAGGATTAACAAAGCCATGTCTTTGGGATGAAGTGAAGTAAAGGGATTGGCCTTAAATAGTTCATTGTTAGAAACAGGAGGAAAGACAGAGTATACATGAGGGGAACCCTCCCCCAAAAAACTAGAATTATCTTTTTTTTTATTTTCTGGGGTGATAGGAGGTGGACCCATGTAGTACAGGCTTCCCTTGCTCCAGGAACCCATCAGCATCAATGTACCAGCTAGCAATGTTGTAAAATATGATTTGCAAAAGAAACATCCCAAGTTGTGGCAAACAGGTGATTGGTTCTTCCACCATAACAATGCACCTGCACACTCCACACTGAGTGTTCAGCAGTTTTTTACCAAAAATGGCATGACCCCATGCCCCACCCTCCCTATTCACCTGCTCTCACCCCAAGCAACTTTTTTTTGTTTCCCTGATGAAAAAGTTCTCAAAGTGAAATGTTTTGCCAATGTGGAAGAGGTGACACAAAAAAATGGCAGAAGCGCTAAAAGGTATCCAAATTGATGAGTTCAAAAACTGTTTTGAAAATTGATGAACATAGAAAGAGCTCACAATTTGGGAAAAATGAGTCTTCCTACTCGAGAGCACAGAACTATTTACCCACTTCAAAGGATGTACATAGCTTCATATTGATATAAAATGGATTTTGAATGTTCTCCAAACTAGCTACAGTCCAGCAGTTGGTATATTATGGATACTGTTTCTCATTATGTGCCTTTCTATAACGTATATGGCATTGTTTCAAAATGTGTATGTTAAAAATAAAATGTTGTATATCCTTTAAAAAAAACTGTTTTGAGCAATGGAAAAAGTATCTTAATAGGTATATTGCATCAAATGTAGAGTGCCTTGAAGATGACTGAAGTTTAAACATCTAAGAATAAATACACAATTTCTAACAAATAAATTCCAGTTTTAGGGGGTCCCCCATCATAGAACAGAATATATAGATACTGAGTATATGGAAGGGGTAAGATTAGTGAAGTAGAGGAACTAACCTTAGGTAGTTCATTGCTAGGAATAGGAAGGAAAGCAGAGTATGTGCAACAGAATCAGGTGGGTGAGTAACTCTTGCCACAGAGCCTGTGAGAGATTTTCCCTACTATCTTTTATTTCCTCTATGAAACTGAAAAATAAATCAGCAGCTGAGAAGGAAGGTTCAAGTGGAGGGTTGCAGGTTTCAGAAAATGGAAGAGTTGCCTACTCATAGTCATCTAAGAAAGTGGAAGAATGAGAGGACTAGGAATGCTTAATAGAATGACCTGAGAGCATCGAAGGTCTGCCGAATGTTCGTGGCCATGAATCTAAAGTGAGGTCTACCAGACTGGTTGTATATTTCTCCAGCTCTACTGAGCCATACAGTGCAAGAGAGGTACAGGCAGAGAGTCGAAATTAACTAGAGCTACAGTTTTGTCAAAGGGAGCATGACAAGGTGGGAAGAGAGGAAGTCAAGGAATTTAAACAGTATGATGAAGAGAGAAGACATCAAACAAGAAGGAACAATGAAAAGGTGGTAGAATCAGAGGTTGCAATGGAGTGGAAGGATTGCTAGGGTTGGGATGCTAGAAGGCGTGGTCTGGGAAGGGGGCAATCAAGTCATGAAATGCAGGAAACTGACTGGGCTCAGTGGCTCAGCCTGTCATCCCAGCAACTTGGGATGCTGAGGCAAGTGGATTGCCTGAACCTGCAGGTTCAAGACTAGCCCGGGCAACTTGGAGAGACCTCATCTCTACAATTAATCAAAATTTAGCCGGGTGTGGTAGTGAACACCTATAGTTCCAACTACTTGGAAGGCTGAGGCAGGAGGATCTCTGGAGCCCAGCAGGTCGACACTGGGGTAACTGTGAGTGTGCCTCTGCACTCCAACCTGGGCAACAGAGTGAGACTCCAACTCAAAAAAAAAAAAAGGGAAAAGAAAAGAAATGCAGGAAACTGAGACTGAGAGTGCCTGCCATTACTAGTGATGGCAAGGTTTAAGTATGACAATAGCAATTAATGGTTATGGTAAGATGAAGAATGAAGTCTAAGAGAACAGGAGCTCAAGGAATTGAGGCTTAGGGTGGAACAATCCTCTACATGTACATGAAAATTGCTAAATTAAGAAAATGATAGTCTTGAGAGGCTGAGACAGGAGGATGGCATGAGCCCAGGAGTTCAAGGCTGCTGTGAGCCATGATTGCACCACTGTATTCCAGTCTATGTGACAGAGTGAGACCTTGTCTCTAAAAAAAATTAAATTAAATTAAAAAGAAAGTAGTAGTAAAGTGAAAATGTGACAGTGATAGAATCAACTGGGAACAATCCCATTTCGGGACAGATCACAGCAATAGTGACAACAGTGGACTATATAATCTGATGACATGAGTTTTAGAAAAGGAAAGAGGGAAGATGTATGTCCTGTAAGAGCAAAAGGGAGGAGAGACACCTACCCATCTCCAGGTCCAATAGTGAGAAGACAGAAAAGCAAAAGCAAAAATTGGCTTCCGGACTGGTAATATCTTCAGAGGGGAACCACGTTTCTGTTAGGACAAAAAAGTAAAAGGAATTTCAGAAAGTAGGGGGAGGATATGGAGCACTTTGCTGAAATAATGGGCCAAGTACTCCAAAGGGTACAGTGAAAATGTCGCAGGAGTTGCAGTGAGTAGAAGATGGGGACAGAATAAAAAATGTAAAGAGAGTTAGGAACAGTAGAATACAGGAATGGGGGGAGCTGAAAACTGGACCTGTCATCAGCAGGAATAGAGTCCTCTTGGGCCAGGCACAGTGGCTCATGCCTATAATCCCAGCACTTTGGGAGGCCAAGGTGAGAGGATTGCCTGAGCCCATGGGCTCGAGACTAACCTGAGCAACTTGGTGAGACCGCATCTCTACAATAAATCAAAAAATTAGCTGGGTGTGGTAAAACAAATAAAAATAAAGAGCCTTCTTTCTAGATTAGTCCAGTAGATTCAAGTCAAAAGCAAAAGCAGGTATGAAATGAAGTGGCCGACTGTGGTGGCTCACACCTGTAATATCAACATTTTGGGAGGCTGAGGTGAGAGAATTGCCTGAGCCCAGGAATCTGAGACCAGCCTGGGCAGCATGGCAAGGTCTTGTCACTATAATAAAATTAAAAAATTAGCCAAGCGTGGTGGTGTACTCCTATAGTCCCAGCTATTTAGAAGGCTAAGGGGGAAGGACCACCTGAGCCTAGGAGGTTGAGGCTGCAGTAGCCAAAATCGTACCACTGCACTCCAGCCTGGGTGACAGAGTAAGACTTCAACTAAAAAAAAAAAAAAAGTTAAGTAACAAATTAACATGATTATTTATATATATAAACTTCTCATATTGGACTTCATTGTTTTTATACTTTATATTGCTCCCTGAATTTTCCCTTTAGCATATTATGTTTTAAAGTCATCTTTTCCACAATAGGTGGCCTTTCCAATTGCCATTTCTTATGTCACAAGAATTCTGTGGGCTGGGAATTAAGGCAGGTCTTGGTTGGACATTGATGGAGGTCACTATGTGTACTCAGCTGAGAGATTGACTAGTTTGAAAGGCCTGCCTGGGATGGCTGGAAGACTGGACTCAGCTGGGACCATCTAAGAGAGCATCTATACATGGCCTTTCCAGCATAGCAGCCTCAGGATGTTAGGGCTTATGTGGTGACTGATTTCCTCCAAAAAAAAAAAATGCAACCTAAGAGAACCAGGTAAGAGGTTGCATAGCCTTTTCTGTCTTAATCTCAGAAGTCATGTGCAACCTAAGAGAACCAGGTAAGAGGTTGCATAGCCTTTTCTGTCTTAATCTCAGAAGTCATGTGCTACTCTCTCCACATTCTGTTGATTATGAAAGAGTCTAGGACTAGTCCAATTTCAAGAAGAAGAGAATTCGCTTCTGCCTCTTCTTGGGGGTTGACAAGACCATACTGTGTAGAAACATGTGGAGTGGGAGATATTGTTTGGACAATACAATCTGTCCTGGTGATACAAATATCCTTATCATATAGGTGATAAGCTCAGATATCTCTGAAAAGCAATTCCCAGGTTCAAGCTCAAAACTACCACAAACTTTTCATGACATGTCATTAATTTTATATATCCTTTTTTTTTTCTTTAGGAGAGTTTAGAGGATGCACAGTGGAACATGTGTCTCGAAACTCAGAACATTTGGAAGAACTCAGAGGGTATGATAAATCAAGTACCAAGTTTCTATTATATTACCCACTTTGTGCAAGATACTAAGTAATCTCATTCTTCAAACACAAGAAGAGTAGTTTCATCCACCACTTGATAAGCTAATACTGAAATGCTGCTTTAAAAAAATCACAGATTTACTTTTGAATATTATATAAGGTTAAGTATGTTCTCTAAGCTATGTCTGAAAATTACAGAAAGCAAAATATCTTTCAAAGTAAGTGGTGTGTTTTTTTTTTTACTTTCAAGCCTAGTATCAAAGTTAATTTTATAATTTATTTTATTTCAGATTTCCAAATGATCAAAAAAATGAAACATAAAGCAGCTTTTGACTCAACATCAAAGCAAGAAGAAATTTGTCACATCACCTTAGATTCCAATACTTGTAATAGAAGTATGCTACAAATAATATGGAGTTATAATAAAACTGACTGTGTTTTCATTGGATTTTGTATGGAGTATATTGCTACAAATTTAGTCCAAAACATCTAAATCTATAAAAATAAAATAAGTTCCAAATACTTAGAAATATCAGTAATTATCCATAAAATTAACAGTAAAAAATTTTTAATCAGTACTCCACAATAAACAGTAATATAATAAAATTAAAATTTGATCATTTCTATTGAGAAAATCATTACGAGCTTGAGGGAATCTTCCATGTTGAATAAATGCAGAATAATACTTACCAAAATTTTCAGGAGAACTTTCCAATATAGATAAAAGGATTATTAGCACACACAAAAAAAGACTCTTATATAGGTAAGGACTTAAAATAGTTTGCTTTACCTGTGTAAAAAGTATATTTATGATACTGATATCATAGTAGCTGATAGTATGTAATCAAACTTATCCATGTCAATTTTAAAGTTTTTAAAAATCTTCATTTTACCACCTTTTCCTAACGTGTCTTGCAAATGAAAACAAACACCTGACAGCTGATATGGTATATGTATAATTTCTGGAGATCTGCAAGTCTAGGGGAATCCAGGAATGAAATTCATTGCCAACAACAAAGACTTTTATTCCCATGTAACTTTGGTCAGTATCTTCTTTAATTCTTGTTTCTCTGAATGCTCCATGACTGAAGGAACTCTCCCTGGAAGACGACAATGTGTAGCATCTTTCTGCTTTCCACCCAATAGTGAAGCTTCTGCACCTGCCCAAGGAGACAATTCAACACATCCATGTAATGAAAATGACTCAGTGTAAATAGGTAAAAATAGTAGAAAAGATTTACGGGGGAAAAAGTGTTTTCTTGTGTTGTTTATTCAATCAATAGACCCAATTTCCACAGCATCTCTTTTTACATCTCTTCTGTAGTGCCCACAGACTTCCAGGCATTTTGTCCTAAAATTAGAGTTAAAGTATGTTTCTATCTTTAAAACAATCCCAGATGTCTGCCTTCAGGCTTAAAAATTATTGAGATAGAGAAATAAAGTAGTTAAAGATGGTCTCTCAGAATACACACACCTTCTAAGGTGATCATCATTTTCTGACTTTACTAGAAACCGTCATTTTAAAGTGACACTGGTCAGAGCAAATAGATAGTGAATCAGACAATGCATTCAGAAATAGTCAAAAAAGACTAAGATAGATAGATAGATAGATAATTTAGAACATGATAAAGGGGACATTTCAAAACAATAGGAAAAGGATGGTCTACACAACAAATGTTCTAAGAACAATGATTATCTCTACGGGAGTAAAATCCATTATGTGTGTGTTCCCTATCTCACATCATCAAATCAAATTGAACTATAAATAAAGCAGAATTAAACACAGGGGAATGGTTTTCTAATCTTGGGTAGGGGAACACCTTCCTAAGCAAGAACTCAAGGTCAGGTGCAGAATAAACAACTACTAAAACATATTGGAGTACATTGAAAAGATCCACACAGTGAAAAAGTCATTAAAGAAAGATAAAAGAACAATGGAGCAAAAGAAAAATATTCAACAAAAAAAACCCCTAATGCCCCCAAAATACATATAATCTCTAAAAACAGTAGGAATAAATAATAAAGGGAAGAAAGAAAAGAAGAAAAGAGAAAGACAACTTAGTTGTTAACAGGACAAAGGATACAAATAGTCAATTCAGACAAGAAAAAATACAAACGAGTAATACATATAGTAAAGGACAGTCAAGCTGGAACACTTGTGCATCGCCGGTGGAAATCTAAAATGGTGTAGATGCCAGAGATGGAAATAATAGACACTGGGGACATCAATAAGTGGGGAGGCGAGGAGAGGGGTCAGGGATCAGAAATTGCCCGTGAGGTACAATATTCACTATCTGGGGAATAGGCCACCTGAGACCCAGTCCCCACCACTGGACAATGTGTCCATGTAATGAACACGCATGTGTACCCCCAAATCTACAAAAAGAAAGCTAAATATATATAAATCAAGTAGTGCAGATGTAATGGAAAACATTGTCAGTCCCTCAAAAAGTTAAATATAAAATCACCATATTATACAGCAATTTCAAACTAACCAATAAGGTATCATTTTCTACTAATAATAAATTAACAAAAAAATTAAGTGTTTGAAAATAGCCACTGCACCTAAGGTTTAGGACAAAGGACACTCTACTATGGCTTGAATGTGTCTTCCAAATTTCATGTGTTGAAAACCCAACCCTCAAGGCAACAGTTGGGAGGTAGGGCCTGGTAAAGGTGTTTGTCATGAGGTCTCCACTCTCTTAAATGGATTAATGCTGATTCTAAAAGGGCTTGAGGCTGCAAATTCAATCTGTTGCTTTATCTCATTTCAATTTGGCAGTACTTATGAAAATATCAAAAATGTATATTCTATGAGCTAATATTTCTGTTTCTAGAAATATTTCTTACAAGACTATTCAGACAATTTTCATATAAGGATGCTCATCACAGATCATCTGTAATATTGGGATATTGTAATCTTCATAAATATTCATTAACTTGGGAGTGGCTAAATAAATTATGGTACTTCTATAATACAATATAATATGTGTCATTAAAGAGCAAGGTAAGGTTTAGAGTACTGACATGGAATGATGTCCATAATATATTGTTGAGATTAAATCAAGTCATAGTCATAGACCTAACTGTAAGAGCTAAAGCTACAGAACATCAAGAAGAAAATTGTTCAAATCTTGAGTTAGGCAAAGATTTCTGAGCGGACAAAAGGCACAAGCCCTTTCAAAAAATTGACAATGTACTAAATTAAAATTTAAAATGTTCTTCATAAGGCAATGTTAAAATAATTTTTTTTAATTGCAGACGGGTAGAAAATATTTGTAAAACACCTTTCTGATAAAGTCCTTGTATCAAGAATATATAAATAATTTTTTCAGCTCACTAAAAAGACAATGCAATTTCAGGAATAGGCAAAAGATTTAAACAGGCATTTCACCAAGAATACACACACATAGAAAATAAGCACATATTGTCTCTTGATTATATTCATTCTTGAAAAAGATGCTAATAAAAGGTCTGCAAATAATGATCTATTTTCTATTTCTATTCAGCACTGACATCTGTTACTAGCAATTATTTTCTTTCCAATAGCATTGTCTAGAATGTGTAGTACTGTCAAATAACAGTACTGAGAGTGGGCAATCTTCTCTTGTTCTTGATAATGAAGTTAGCCATCTAAAGTTGTTTCCATTAGGTAGAATATTTCCTATAAGTGTTGGTTTATAATATGAACAAAATAAATCCCCTTCTACTTCTCGTGTGCTAGCTAACAAGTTGTTTTTAAAATAAATAATGGTTAAATATTATCGAATGATTTGTATTCTTTGGTTTTGAAAATTGTAATGTTTCCCCTTTAATTAATGATGTCACTTCTGTTTGATTCATCCTTGAATTTCCTGTATTTGTCCATTGGATCATTGTCTAATTGGATTTTGAGATTTAGTATTTTAGTTAGGAATTTTGTCATTTAGGCCATTACTTCAAAAGTTAAATGGTAGTTTTCTAATTTGAAATGCACGAATAATTGCAACTGTATGGTATTGGTACAAGAACAGGCACATAGACCAATGGAACAAGATACAGACTCCAGAAGCAAAACCTCAATTTCTCAACCAACTCATCTTCGACAAAGCTTCCACCACCAACCACCAGGGAGAGGAGAACCCATACAGCAAACAGTGCTGGAATATGTTGAAACTTAAAAGATAGTTCACCAATTTTGTCAAATAATCAACTTTTAGAGAGTCTGTAGTATTTCTTTACATAATCAAACACCAATGAAGAAATTGGAAAATAATTTTTCATTGCAATAGCTCCAAACCAATGACAGTAACTAATAATTGACTGAGTCTACACTAATCTCTACAGAGAAAAAGTTTAATTCCCAGGTAAACAAAGGAGTAAATGAACAAGTGGAAAGAATAAGCTTGCCCATAGAAAGAACAACTCGAAGCAGAGGACAGTTCTCCCCAAACTAGTATGTATAATGTGATATGCCCAAACTATCAGGTGAATGTTAATAGATAAAATTATACCAAAATGTAAATTTGCCATGAAAGTCAATAAATAATTGAATAAACTTCAAAAAAGAAAGAAAATAAGCACATAAAAAGATCATCAACACCATTAGTCATTAGAGAAATGCAAATCAAAACTACAATGTAAGATATTACTACACACCTACTAGAATGGCTAAAATGTAAAATGTCTGGCAACACCAAAAGCTGACAAGGACTTGGAGCAACTGGAAATCTCAAAATCACTATTAGAAATGCAAAAGCGTACAACTGCTTTGGAAAACAATTTAGCTGTTTCTGATAAACTTTAACACATACCGTATGACCCAGCAACCCCACTCTTAAGTATTAACCCAAGAGAAATAAAAACATATGTCTACACAATGTCTTGTATATGAATATTTATAGTACTTTTATTCACAATAGTAAAAAACTATAAATCACCCAGTGTCTGAATGGATAAACAAATTGTGCTACATTCATGCCATTCAACACTACAATAAAAGCAACTGTCGATAAATGTAACAACATGAGGGATCTCAAGGGCGTTTTTATGCTGAGCAAAAGAAGCCAATCACAAAAATTCTATCTATATAACATTCTGGGAAAGGAAAACCGATAGAACATTATTAGATATTAGATCAGTGGCTGCCATGAGCTGGGTGTGGGGAAAGGGCATGAGGAAACATTTTTGTTAAGAAAATGTTCTATATCTTAACTGTGGTGATGGTTATGCATCGTTATACATTTGTCAAAGCTAATTGAACTGTACACGTAAAGAGGAGAAATATTACTAAGCAACAATAACTCAATAAATGGCATTTTAAAATTAAACAGAAAGGAGCAAGTGACTATGGATTGGATTCAGCTTGATCGTGTTGTTATTTAAATGTAGCTGTGCATGTTTGTGGTTATGTTATTTGTACAGAAAAGGGTCTTAAATGATCTAAACCCAAACATGAGCTGTGATTTT